TTAGAAGTGTTTGGCCATCAGCGCTGAGTAGAGGACTTTGAGCTTGGTATGGAGGCCCATATGCTGTTTTCAGGGCTTCACAGAAACCTCTGTGATCACCTGTGTCAGCGCACAATTGTGATTTTTCAGTTAGAGTGATCCACCATTTGTTCTGGATGTCACGGAGTTTCTGATGGAGTTTGCCGCATGTAATGCGAAAGGTTGTTTTTCTTACGTGACAGGATGGCAGTGCAAGGTGTGCTTGGTAGGCAGTTCTCTTCTTCATCAACAATTCCTGGATCTCTTGATTGTTTTCATGGAATCAGTCCTTGTTCTTCTTGAGGGAGAACCCTAAGGTTTCTTCAGAGGACTGCTGGATGCTGTTTTTAATATGGTGCCAGAGTGTTACAGGAGAGGTATCTGTAGAATCTGAGGAATGGTTATCTAGCCTAGTTTGAAGATTAGCCTGGAATTTGTGTCTCACTGTGGTTGATTGGAGATTGTTAACTTGGAGTCTCCTCCTTGGGATACTGCCCCTTTTAGGATTGAATTTAAGAAAGAACAGATTTCTAACAAACTACGTAGGTTTTCTTCTCTACTCAACTGAGACACAAAACTGTAGTCAGTGACTGAAAAAGGCTCATTATTCGTAATTAGTGAAGCATCCTTTAAATTCAGAAGTAAGGAAAGCATGAAAACCTGTAACTAAGCCTCGTATTTCAAAAGGCTTTGTTCTGACTTGCGGGTCCAAGACCCGTTCCACCAGCTACAAAGTGAAACAGACACAACCACGGAAGTGAAGATCCTTCCAGGCAGTTACAAAAGTAGCCCTATCACTGTATGCACTGTGCGCCAAGCAAAAGGAATACAAGTCCTCCTGAAAAGCCCATAAGTGAGAGGAAGGTCAGTATGGAATGCACAGTGGCTCAAGAACATAGAATCATATGGAAACATGGAGATGATAATGGTGTTGCTCAACAACAGCTCTCCAGAAGTTCTATTTTCAGGTGGTTATGTGTTCTCCCTTGAGGCTGAAGAACTACAAAGACTTATGAAACTTGGGAAGATGCAGATGTGGAGGAAAACAACCAAACATCCATCTGTCTTGGGAGAGAAATGGGCGTTATGTGAACATTATTTGTTAAGAGCTTCTTACTCAGGGCAAGACTCATCTGGGAACATTCTGAGCTGAGAAGCATTAGCTAAAAAGATTAACAAAGCAGCTTTCCTGAGGAATGCAGGTTGATGTATCTGAAAGTTCCCTGGTGGGAATAAGAGGTAGAAACACAAACATAAAATGAATAAGATAGAATTGCAGGAGAACTAAGTGCCTGGTCAGAGCAATTCATATTTTTTCTCATGACCAAGATCACCCTGCACACTGGAGATGGGACAGCCTCCAAAAGATATTGTCGGCCAAGAGAAAAGTTCCACCAAGGGACCCAATTCACTAGCACTGTACCTGTCAATTCATTAATCATACTCTCTTTGTATGACAATGTATAAATTTTCTCTTTTGCTTTCAATGCCACAAAGCCAAAAATCTTCTGCTATCAGTAGTCTAGTACTGTGGACCATAAATATTTTTAACAAACCACTTGTTGGGTTGGGTTTTTTTCATTTTTCTTTATGGGTGTAGAAATAAATTTTGATACAGCTGCATTCACCTGCATGGACAAATACTCTCTATTTTCTTCCAAAATCTTACAACCATAACTTACATTTTTTGTACTTTATTTACTTCAACTTTTTTTGTCATAAAAGTTTGCTTTGTTATATTTTTTCACGGTCAACAGATTTCCAAGTGTGAAGAAGGTTTAGAGTCATTCTTCATCAATGACCAAAAATTATCAAATTAGAAGTTTCCATATCCACATGCTTTGCATAATTTCACTGTCACCTCAAAATACAGAGTATTACTCTCATTACTCTCTTACTCTTACTGGGACAATCTTACTGTCCAGGTCAGCTCATTATCTAAGTGGAGTCTTAACCTGTGTCAATTACTTCCTTTACATCACAGAGAGTGAATTCAGATACAATTTTGCTTCTTGTCACCTCAGTCTGAATGTGCACATAGGTTACATAATAAAAGATTCTCATTTATAATTATTATTCTTGATGGCACTGTTTTCATTGAAAAATACTTAGTTTAACGTTGATACATAAAAAAGTGGAAATTCCTTAATATAATAAGGAGGCTGAAATATTGAAAATGCAATAAAGAAATCTTCCTTCAGAGTCGTATTCCTTACTTATTCACCACACTGAGTAGGTTTTATAATGTTGGTGCTTTGACAAAGCTCAGATCACAAAATAGCATGTTTGAAACTTGAAAAACATTTAGAAGATTTCTTGAACAGCAAATTGAGAGAGTCACTGTCTTTTAATGACCTCAGACCAAGGTTACATACCTCAGTTTTATATAATAATCAATTATCAGCCTCAACACATGGAGAGGAGAAAACTCTGTCCTGAGCATCAATGGCAAATTATTATCTCTAGAACCATCAGGCTACAACCTTCAAATCAATTCGAAGTTGACCTTGAAAATTTGAATCCATAATAAGACCCTTATTCTCTACCACCAGGATCCCAAACTGAGCACAAACTAATTGTGTCAGCTGCTTTATATGAAAGTAAACAAAGAAAGTGCTCCAATTCTCTTTTTATCATTGAATCAAATGAGATCCATTTGCTCTTGGGTTTGGATTCTGCATTTAAATTACAGTACTGCATGCCAGAGTGTGTATGTCTTGCTTGATTCAGGGAAACATCTTTCACTTGAACACATGCTTGGTATAAACATGTCTCTAACTCCTGTTCAAGTTGGAGTCCTAGAGTTTCCTACAGAGCAAGATACTGTTCAGTAGTGGTAAAATTGATTTTTCAGACAGAAAATAATTATGGCACTGAATAAAAAATAAATATATTTAAATCATATGAAAATAAATATCTTGAAGCCATATGAAACATGTTTATCATTATTCTGAAAGTTCATATTTAGAGCTCACTAAACCTCTGAACTCTTTGGATAGCACATGTATCTAGAACATTCTCTATAGTGGAATCCAGAAATATTTTACAGGCTTCACAAATACAAAATTCAGCCTTACTACAAGTGTGTATCTATTTCTGGGATGACTCAACAGCAATTCTGAAGAGAATACATAATTTTAACAAATAGAGATAAAATATTCCAAAATTTGAACTAGAGGACAGGTTCACGCAAAAACTGTGAGTTGATCTACCCTGAAATCTGGCCTGACTGGTAGGTAATTCTTACAGTCTTCCCAGCAGTGTTGCTCCAGCTAATTTGCATTTATAGAGCCACAGTCCACATGAGTTACATCAGACCTTTGTTAGGATAAACACCTACAGATACAAACAGAAGTTTGCCTGGATGAACAAAATAATAAAATCTGCAAGAAAATGGAGAGAAGGTTGTTAATGCCTTCATAACCAAGTCTGCAAATATTTTGAAGGATGCCTTCTTCTCTGGATCAATTCACGGCCACAACTTGCAACCATAGCCAAGAAATAAGTTTGTCTTATGCTGAAAGATCTACAGAAATGAAAGAACTCAACTTCTGGGGAAAACTTAGTACAAAACATTGTATAGGTAGCGTGGCAACTCCTCATACCTATGCAAGTTCTCTTAGAATTTATTCAAACTTCTTTTGCTAAAACATTGCAGAGAAGGAAGGAAAATTTTCCTCTACCTAGCTTAGGAAATTCAACAAAATTCTACTTCTGCTACATGGTCTGAATATCATTCGAGAAAATAGCAACTGCAAAATGGGAGTGCTGGGACATGCCAACAATCATCAGATTAAACCTTTATGATATTATTGTATAAACAAAATTAACATCACCACGGATCAGTGACAAAAGAAGTTCAGTTCAGTGTGGCAGGAAAGGAATGCTAAACACAATTTTGAAATAACAGTAGGACAAATTAATGTTAAACAGGAAATATTAAACAAGAAAACAATTGAAACTCTTTCACAAATGCTTTCTTTCCTTAAAGGAACAACTCAGAAGAAAGTGTCACCCTTGTAACTTTCTTTTTTTTAACAGTCGGCACAAATCCGTGTAGGAGACTCTCTGATTTGCAATTAGCTTATTTTTAATAGAATCGTATCCTTCCCAAAGAAATTACATAGAAACATCAAAATCATTATTTTTAAGCATTAAAAAATGTGCTTATATCAGACTGCTAATTTTTCATCTTAGTGATGCCTCTCCCTTAAGACAAATATAAACCAGAAACAGATTCAACTCAACTATTTTGGTTGCTTTACTCTGCAGATCTTTACAAGGCACATTGTTTTTCTATTGAGTACACTGGGAACTTAACAAGCTTTGTTTTGATGGGACTGTCATTCACCTAAATCATTACTAATCCTCATCCTTCCAACACTTAATGTTTAAAAATTACTCTGCAGCTGCACTTGAACGATGACTTTGTTACCACTCACAAATACTTCTGACCTTGCCTTGACTAAAACCAAAATATTTCTGAATCTTGAAGGACTGAAGTCAAAGTGGGTTTAAGAAAGCTGGTAGCCAAATTATTTGGAGAGTTACTCACCAGGAAGAATCAGGGCAAATGTGTCCCCACTGTGTAATTCAGAGCCCTGATAAGTGAAGCTCTGATTCAGATTTGTCCCCTAAGGAATCCTTTCTCTCATGCTCCAGTTCTCCAGTGACTGCAGTAGGAATTTAGGGAGATTAGCTTTGGCAAACTAAAACTGGCCTTTATGAATACTTTCCTCCCCATGAGGAAAATTATATATCATCCAAGCTATCACTTCTGTTAGTCATAAAAAGAAAAGAAAAAAAAAGGCATTTTATAGCATCTGAAGTGAATACAAATTTTTTATAAAAACAAAATTTCTCTATTTCTTCTTCCTCTGAGTACTCAAAATATTTTCCCAGCCTTAATCCCACTATTTTGGTCAAGATGGAAAGAACTACATTGTACTGAGGACTAGGGAGTAAAATAAAACTGTCACCATGTTTTAATTAATTTACAGAAAGAGGAGCTTGAGCCAGTAGAGTTGTTTGTCATCAGGTTTTCATTTTCTGTATTGAAATGAGCCTTCACGCTTCCAGCTGGGTTTCGTTCATCACCATCGAGTCTCTGTGTGCAGATATGGTGTATGTCCTGTGGGACGGAGAAGGGGCAATGATCATTTTGTTCATACCAAGCTGGAAATTAAGTTCCTCATTCTGGGAAGTGGTTTCTCCAGATCATTTCGTTCACTGCACAGGCCTAGGAAAGCCAACTTGCATTCAGCATCAGGGACTAGGTGAAACCTCCTTCAGAGGGATAACTTGGAGGTTAAACACGAATCCAGCCACCAAAGATTCACTGAAGGCTACTTTGGATTTGTCTCTCACTTGACTAAAACTGTAGAAGGGTTTTTAGTAAACTATAAACATTTAAAACATGTTTATACTCTATATGTTCTGCAGACGAAGTAAATCTGAGTGCAAGATTATGGAATGATCTGCTGTGAGAAGCTGTGGAAGCTCAAGATGTTGACTCATTCTGAGCAACATGTCAAAAAATGCTGGAAGTGATAAGGGAATAATATGAATGATAAAGTTGTCCTTCATGCCCCTAATAAGTACATGCTGAGGCACATATGTTTTAGGCCTTTGAAGAAAATTACTGGAATTCTAATGTTTCGCAGTCACTTATATGGGGTATGGCATTGGTGGCCTTTGTGTCAGTCTACACTGCCAGATTAACACACATCATTTTCTCATTGTTCAGTCACAGAAGTAAGGTACTTGTCTGGGGTAATGCAGAATTAGAAGCACTTTTCCTCCAAGTGCATAATTAGTGTTTTCAGGAACTCCACTGGTGTTCATCATAAATTTTGACTGAAAGTTGTAAATAGAAAGGAGCTTTCTTATGCGACCTTATTATACTTTGATTTGTTGAGTTTGGGCTTGGTTTTTTCGTGTGAATGTTACCTACAGGGTGATTAAGGAACTATTGTCTCTCCCTGCTGATTCTGTAGCTGAAAGACATAGTATTAACAGGTTAATTATGTAAGGAATTAGCACAATTCTCTTCCATTTACTTCACTGGCAATAGAGGTCATCAACACCTTCTGGAGGAAAATCGTATGATGACACGAAAGAAAAGGAACAAGAAGACAGGCTCGATCCCAAAACCACTAAAAGCAGTGGGTCTTTTTTCCAAACTATGTTAATGGAGTTGCAGCTGGATCTAAAAGTAAGGACTGTCTCCTTGCTTCTCTTTATACATCTAGAGCCACTTCACAAATTCCCATGGCAAGAAATACCCCAAATAAGTCATGGTTAAAAACAAGAAATAAGCTTCATAGAGCTGTGATCCTTGGTAGATCTTAGTTTGGTATTTTTTGGAATGTTGTGTAATTAAAGGCATCCTACTTTTCAAAGAAGAAATTACCTTGATTTCTTCAAAGAGTTCTTCGCTTTCAGTTCTCCTGACCGGCAACAGGCAAATTTACAATCTATGACCTGGTAAATAATTGGGTTGTACATGGCTGCTGACTTTGCAAGCAGTGTTGGTACCACTGAAAACTGAATGGGAACTGAATCCGGCTGTCCAAAGGCTGACCAGACTGAGACGACGGCGTAGGGGATCCAGGCAATGAGGAACCCTGCGCAGATCAACATTGCCACCTTGTGAGAGGAGAAAAGAGAGGAGGAGGGTTATCCAGCACAGAGAGACACTGGAAGCACGGCACAGAGCAGGGCAGAACGCAAGGGAACATGACACTGAATGGAAAAGAAAAATGATGACTTGCTTCAGGTAAATTTTCAATATGAAGAAAATCTGTCACACATCTTTATCTAGTGCCTGTTTTTCTTTCACCTGACACAGAGTAGTTAATGAGTCTGTTATCACAGACCTTTAAAAATGCCATAAAGTCTGGCTAAAGATGAGGAAACTTAATGAGATCTCAGAAAATTATAATCATTTGACACTGGATTTAAATTATTTAAGGAGGAGAGTCCTTTCAAAACACAGAATCTCTTTTTTTTTTTTTTAGGATAACTTACAGATAATATCAGAGCTGCGAAAAAGATCTTCTGAAAATTGAGAATATAATTAAAACTGACAATGCTAGTACAATGTTTAGTTATCTTTCTTCTAAGACATATCATGGATTTGTACTCCATTAAGATATGTAGATAGTCTAAAAAAGCATATTTCCAGCAAATGTTTCAGTTCTGATAACATGTTCCCAGTAAATTAGTAAAGGACTTCCTTATAATACGAGAAAATGTAACTATAAGAAAGTTTAGTATAAATGTGAAATAAAGTGTTTGGGGCTAAAATTGGAGATTTATATACTCTACCTGAACCAGTCTGTCTGCACTCAGTCACAGCCTGGTATAGTTTAAGATGACATCATGCAATAATACATTCTGAAGAACATCTGCCATTATACTGCTGCCATTGACAGGCTGTTGCTGCATCCAGACTGGGAGTAGTACAAGTGCACTCATTTGGAATAAGGCAATTAGCAGGATTAGGAAAAAAAAATCACCAAAAAGCAAAAGGATTTTGGATGTTGCATAATCTTTTCTGTACTTTTTTTTGTTGTCTGTCACTGAAGGAAGTGATGTGCATGTGAGCCAAGGGTCTCAAACACAGCCTTTTTGTTATAAATTGTGCTCTGGAGTCAAATGGGTTATAAGGGAGACTCATTTTCCATATTTATATTTATCCCAACATTATGTTCCCCACTGTGGGTCCAAGACAGGAGGGACAACTACTAGTGCTTCAACTCAGATCACATTGAAGTTTTATGCGATCCCTCCAATATGGCAAAAATAAATCTGCAGCCTCAAATCAAAAGTTTGCATTGTTCTTCAAAGGAAATTTGCTGAATAACCACAAGAAAGTACTGTATTGAAACACCCCTTTGAAAGGCAAGTACAGCTGCACCAGCTGTATTGGCAGCACTGGCTGTACAGGTACCGGCTGAGATTCTCCAATATGTTTAGACATATTGTCCCTTATTGTTCTATGTTATATAATTTTCAGTTTCACTCACAAAAAAAATGCAATAAAATTTGATCAACCAAGCAAAAGTTGCTGCTTGTCTCTCTCTTGGCATGGCTTACAGAGGCTGGTGAATTTTTTACAGCTAAGGAATCTCGGTTTGCTCAACACAAGTCTTTATTTTGAGAGATTTGCTGGCACAATAACCAGTATCAAGGCTCATGGCTGTCACCATTGCCAAAGAGAAAATAGATTCAATCTTAAGGAAAAACAGGATATGGTCTAAGATGCAAAATTAATCTTAGTACTTCAGTGTATTTTTATCACAGGGCTGAACTCAAATGATAAATTATTTGCATAAAAACAATTGCAATGTCACAGGACTGATTTTAGTTTATATCTTCATTAACAGAGGAACGTAAACTGTCTGAAAGTTTTATTTCCCTGCTACAAAATCTGCTCCTTATCTGTTTTCTGTTATAATTTCTGTGCACCTCGAACACCTTAAATTAATCTTTACAACTGTTCCTGAAAGCAAAGGGTGCTTTATGGTGGGGAACAAGGACACAGGGAGATGATATGACTTGTAAGGTCACACAGGAAAGCTGTGACAGAGCTTCAGAGTGAACCATGATCTCAGGGACTTGAGTGCTCTAATCACAGAATTATGTTTCCACTCCTGTGTTTCCCATCTTGACAGCAACAAAGGAGAAAGCTACAAGAACCACCTTCAAGGCATCATCCTATTGTCTCCAAACCTGCTTCTGTGACACAACAAATCAAACCGAGGTAAATGCTCCTACCTTGGTCAGCTTCATTTCGAGTATGTGGCTGTTCTGAATCCTGGTATCGTAGTGAGCGACTTCTTTGGTGGAGGATTTGACTTTCAAAATTATTTTGACATAGGAAAACACAATCACCGCAGTTGGGAGCAGGAGGCAGAAGAAAAGAATGCTGAGAACAAAAACCTGTCCAGCCACCGAAGCCTGTGCCAGCCACCAGTCCAGAGTGCAGGAGGTTCCAAATGGCTCAGGGGCGTAGCTCCCCACCCCAGCAAAAGGCACCGTAGCCCAGAACATGGCATAGGCCCAGATTATTGCCAGACAGACAAATGCATGATGTCTCTTCAGCCAGGTACCTGCAAGATAATTCCAGAGTTACAAGCTCATGCCCAGATGTATCTGGCACGATTGAACATGCCATGTCACATGGAAGTGTTCAATGCCAGGTTAGATGTAACTCTGAGCAATCTGGTCTAGTGGAAGCTGTCCTGCAGGGGGGTGGAACTGGATAGTCTTTAAGGTCCCTTCAACCCAAACCATTCTATTCTTCTATGATTCTATAAAGTACGAGTTTGGTCAACTGTTTTACAACAACTCTGTAGTGTTAATCTTGCCTCTTTTCAGGTATCATTAGTGATCCTGAGCAAGGCCCTCCAGCTCGTGTTGTGCCTCATTGTCTTAGTTTGAAAAAGGCTTTTTCCCTGCAGTGGGAAAGTGGTTAACTCTAGGGGTGGTGTTCTTGGTGTTGAGCCAATCAGAGTGCCCCTGCAAAATTAGCATATTACACAGACCTAAAGAGAAGCTGTTTGGCAGAGAGAATTGGAGCCATGAGGTAACTGAGGGGAGCCCCGAGTTTGGGGGTGCCCCTGGGCACCCAGTAGCCCTGGTACTATGGCCAGGGCTACAACATTCCCTCACCGTTTTCCCCCCTGTGAGTGGGGGAGGCAGCAGCAGTGATCGTGAAGCAGAGCAGAAAGAATTCCAGGCAGAGGAGAGAGAAACTTCAAGCAGTCTCACTGCCACCTCCCCTGCCATGGCGGGGGGAGAGGGCGACTGGGGCTGAGACTGGAGAGAGAGACAAACTGAGAGCTCGGAGGTGCCCCTGCTGAGGTTTGGACCAGGGCAGCCAAAAACCAAAGGACGAGGAATGCAGGGGATGGCCCCTCCTGCCACCTGGCAGCCCAGCTGATGCTACAGCTGAGACAGAGAGAAGCCAAATCAAGCAGGTTCAAAGTGGAGAAGTCCCTAAATCTTACTTCCTGGGGGGAACCTTCACAAAGCAGGAGAAAAGGACTCAAAAGCTTTGACTCCCTGTAGCTCACGATGCAGACCTGGTGCAGCAAGTGTTCCCTCGCAGTCCAGGAGGAGCCCTCGGCAGAGGCTGAGCAGCTGGTGGGGATGCAGAAGACCCCTCCTGCCCTGAAGGTTCTTCTGGACTGATATGGGAGGGCCCCAGGGGTGGTAGAAATTGTGTTAATACTGTGTATTTATTTGCTTCTTAGTTTCTACAGGTTTTATTTTGTTAGTAATAAATTTTGACATAACTCCCCCATGCTGAGTTTGTTGCCTGTCTGAAAACTTCTCTCAACATTTTAGCAGATTTGTGGGGGTTTGAAAAATTGGTTTTGAGGCTCAAACCACGACACTCATGAAGAGAAATGCACACTCATATGAAAGACTCCACCTAACTTAATTTTAGATCTTTGCTTTAAGTTGTGATGATTTACAACTGAGAAGACTCCAAACCAAAACAATCCAAGCAACCAGTCCAGCAACAGTTGTGAGAATCTTGTCCAATAATTTTGGAAATTGCTTTGTGGTCTCTAACAGTGTATTCATGGTGTGTGATCAGATGAGATAGAGGTTCAACCTACATGAAGGACTAAGACTTTAATTCAGCTTTTCATTACTCAGTATGAAGGCTCACCCACAGCAACTGTACATTGTAACTTACATTATTTCCTATTCTTTCTGTCATGTATTACCTGGCTAAAGTTCAATCTCAGGACAGTTCTCAACATAAATTATTAAACTAAGTGACTTTAAAAAAAGGCTTTACAGAGGGAATGAGATATGCAAGACATATTTTTACCTTGTCATTCTTTTCCAGTATAGAAAATCACCATGAGTGTCCTGTCAGAAGTATCCATAGCAGGTGTTTTCGTGTATCCTTGCCCATTTTTTTAATTAAGCCTAATTTTATTAAATGCATGTCTGGAGCTGTGGAGTGTGGAATATTGTCTTTCTGCTCATCTTGCATACAGCTCTAATCCATGTGGAAAAAGCTTTGGTTTACAAGCTTTCTATCATCACCTATATTCAACATTTTGGATTTGGATAGAACAAGTAAAAATGTGTAATTTTTTCCGAAACTCGAAATATGGTGTAATGATCCTTTAACTTCGGAAGCTCCAAACTGCTTGCAGTCCCTGACTCACAGAAGAGTTTTCACTCACTTCACACCAACATTGGGGAGCTTTCTGCTGGATTTCAGGATCAAAGCAAAGAAGCACCTGTAATTTGAATGTGACCAGTTTCCCTTCACAGCTGATTTTACGTTTCCAGATCACTGGAAGGAAAATGAACACTGCCTGACAAATTATGTATTCCTGTATGATGGCTGAGAGACAGAAAGGTGGTTTGTTGGGCTCAGGGGTGGAAAAACAGAGCAACAACAGAATGAGTATTAAAAGAGTGACATTATTTTTGCAGCTATTGTCAAACCACAGCAACTTAGTACCAAAAAAAAAGATGTAGGTAAAAAACATGTGCACCAGGTTCCTGATGACTGATTTGGTCATTATACAGATAATGTCTAATTTAACCTCCTAGATTGAGCATTATGTTTATTGGTCTCCATCCTTTTGTATGGACAACCATGATCAGAGTCCTTGAGCATAAAGGTTTTGAAGTGTTCTGTTCCCAGGGAACTCAGATGCAATGCTGAATACCAGAGCTGGTGGCATGAATGCAGCCAGGCATGAAATATTCACTTCAGTTCACCAAGTCTGTGGAAAATTGTCCATGATTTGGGTTGCCACTGAATTATTTTGATAAGACTTCTATAGGAAGAACTGAAATCCTGCTTAATGTGAATGGTGTACCTAGAACTCTGCTAAGGAGACCTGCCCTGCACTCCCACTTAAGGAAAAAGTATGGGCATGCCAGGATCTATGATAGCACAGGATCTACATGATAGCATGTCTTAGCACAGTACCACAGACTTTAACTGGTTACACAGACTGGTTTACTTACACTTTCTAGCTGTAGACATTCCTTATAACTTAACCTTACATGACTGACATTTTATGTCATTATAAAGAAATCTGTTGTGTACCCCTCAAGTCACTTGGGCAAGGTGTTTCTTATATGTAAAGACACCTTGAGTATTCCCTGTATTTTAATGGGAATTTAGTCCTTTCCAAAGCAGGAAGAACATCTTTTCTAAACTGTGACAATTTCTTTTAAGTGGAAAGAATGAAGCATATCACACATCATATTCAGGACATACAAATATCGATGGATATGATGGTAACAGCTTTCATTGCTAAATTCATTTCATCCTGTCAGGTTCCATCTCCATATTAGAGAGATGATATCACATTATGAATTATTGCCCATCCAAATCTCTTAGATGTTTTAAATAGCTTACCACATATCTTAGAGGAATTTAGGCATCTAATAGGGAATATTTTTATTTATTGGTCCATAAGATCTTGAAATATGTGCAATACTTGCATCTGCTAATGTTAATTAGCCTTGATACATAAAATGGTTTATCTGTGATGGATTACGAAAACTCATGGCTTAAGCAGACAGCAGAGAGACAACAGTGAAGATGTTATGTCCAGTAAAAAAAATTTAACTGGGATTACTTGGATCATGAAAATGTGTTTCTCTTATCTATGTATTCTCCTCTATATTTTACAAAAGCATTCGGAAGAGCTTAAATGTGATTTCAGTGTAGTAAACTATAGCACTTCATATGATTCCTCTGTAGTCATAGATAATATAGTTATCTCTATATATAGATATAGAGTTGTCTTACCATAGGACAAGTGGCAGATTTTTAGGTACCTGTCCAGGCTGACAGCTGTCATGGTAATAAGACTCCCACAGCCAAAGAAGAAACCAGCCCATCCATACCAGCGGCAGCCTATCCATCCAAACATCCAGCGGTGACAGAAGAAGGAGATGATACTGAAAGGTTTGCCTACAACTTCAAAAAAGGAGAAGAGAGTGTCAGTTGACTGATAAGCCCCATCATCGATAAAACCACCCTTTTTCAGAAAGGCAAACCCTCTCCTTTGGACAAAACTTCAATGTCAAGAGGAGGCTTCAGGCACAGTAGATGCGAGGACTTAAAGCGGAAGGAGGGTAAATTTGGATGAGATATTAGAAAGAAATTCTCTATTGTGAGGGTGGTGAGGCGCTGGCATGGGTTGCCCAGAGAAGCTGTGGATGCTCCATCCCTGGAAGTGTTCAAGGCCAGGTTGAATGAGGCTTAGAGCAGCCTGGTCTAGCGAAGGTGTTGCTGCCCATTTGGGGGGTTTGGAACCAAATGATCTTTAAGGTCCCTTCCAACCCAAAGTGTTCTGTGATTCTATGGCTCATGTGCCCTCCATCCACAAGACTGAGCCTAAGACAGCTCTAGCTACATCCCATAGCATCAACACTGTGGTAGGATGAGCCAAGCCTGCAGAATTGCTGGAAATAGGTGCTATGCTATAGCCAGAGGAAACAGAAGTAAACCAGTATTCTGGTACCCACCATGGGCAAGTTCTTCCCGTTATGAAAACTTCAGAATATGTTAAGTCCACATGTAAACACATGTCAGTATCCAAACAGTACAGGTGATGGGTGAGTCTGGGCTTGAAATAGGCACAGATCTAATCTACATCCCTAGGATTGTCCACTGAGTGTCTTGAAGCACAAGATAAAGAAATTTGCCTTCAAAAAGGACTTTTACAAACCTGACAGGGCCCAACAATAGGATACATAGTGAAGTGTTAGATGGGAAGGAAAGATTCTGCTATGGTTGAGCTGCAGAAGTAGTTAAGGATACATAAGGCCCAACAATAGGATACATAGTGAAGTGTTAGATGAGAAGGAAAGATTCTGCTATGGTTGAGCTGCAGAAGTAGTTTCAGCTCCTGTCCATGCCACACATTTCCTTGGTGCCTCTCAACAAGCCACCTGGTCACAGACATCAAAACCTTCTAAGTTTCCCCCAAAAGAGGGGAAATATATAACATACAATATTTTTGAGGCTCTGTCTTAGTGGCACTTCAGCTCATTCCTCCATTTGTAAAACTGAGGGGTGCATTATGGAAGAAGTGAAGCTGAGACAAATGTTGTTCCATTCTCACATTAAATCAGATTTACCTTATTCATATTCTTTGTAAGCATTGTAAAAATAAGAAAGTTTGAAATTTGTCATTTTCTAGTTAGAAAATTACCACTACCTTCTGATTATTAATATTTTATTTTTTTTTTGGTCAAAAACCAGACAAAGAAAGAAAACAACGTTAATGGAACAGAAAACTCAAAAATTTATAATCTAGGAACATCAGCATATTTTCCAAATCCTTCATTTCTAATTACAAGACTGACCTGAAATGCTCCCAGGCCTGAACAGTTCAACTGCAATATTCAAACAGCATTAAATATTGAACTCCACATTCCTGTGACTGTATTCCTTCCTCCACAGGAGTAGCCAGAGCACCTCAAGGATTTGAAAACATCTCAGCTGCCCTGGGCTAATTTCCCTGGCTGAACCACAGTGTCTGTAATGTCATAGCAGCTCAGTGAATTGGTTTATAAAGAGGGTCTTGCAAACTGTAATTCCCACAAGGTAACCTGTTCATAGAAGTGAAGATAAAAGTCTCTATTATGTTGAAGTGATCTGCAGGAAAATATTTTGAATTGTTCCCAAAAATATTCCATTTTGCATCAAACTGGACATAAAACTAAACATTCTGTTTTCAGTATTAGCAGAAAATTAAAACATTTCTACCAAAACCAAATATTGCATAAAATGGCCTTTGCTCCATCTTTATGCCAAAAACATCATGATTGAAAACCCATCAAAACCAGATTTATTTTTAAACAAAGTATTTTGAGATTATTTTCCTTTAGCCTAAGCCTGTAAGGAAAGTTCTGCCTGAGCCTGAAAGTTGTGCTTGGGTCAATGTATGATGTGCTTTTCTCTGAGCAGAATAAATGTACTTCTAATTTTTCAAGCAAAAGCTGACCTCAGTGATTAAGTTTCAAGAAAAACATTAAATATGGCAAGGTCTAGGACATATGCTGAGAGTCAGCAACTTTACTCACGCAAATGATTGCCAGCTTTAAAGGCCAACACATTTATTTGCACAAAATCAAATTTCTCTTCAGCAGCAGGACTCGGAGCAGCTCAGAGCACGGTGTCAGTGCAAAAAGAGCCCGATGCAGCTTTGAACGAGGGGCTGGTGCCACCCTGTGGAAATCTGCAGGAAACAGGGCCATGGCTGAACTCGTTTCTTGAACGAGGTGCCAAGATAAGTGTGTGAAATGTGAAGATCCTGGGGAAAAAAATCCCATCTTCATTCCAATCAGTCCAGCAGATTGAATACATCACATTTCTCAGGTGAACATCATCAGTTAGCAAAAAAACATTAGAGAAGGAAGAAAAAACCACATGGCTGTGCCAATCACAATTATTTTTAATTCCAAAACTTAAACACACGGATAGATTGAGATTCCTCATGGAAGAAAGCAAGGTGACCAGGTAGTATGGTGTTGACACACCTTAAGAGAGAAGCTGTCAGCCCTCATGCTAAGAAGGCTCCCAAACTAGCTGTAATTTGCATGGTTGAGACCTACAGTTTGTGTGGTTAGGAGATACCTATTAAACTCATCAAATTATAGAATGGTTTGTCTTGCAGGAGTTCTTAAAGATCAAATAGTTCCAATCCCCCTGTCATGGATAGGGTTACCTCCCACTAGACCAGGCTGCTCAGAGCCCCATCCAACCCACCCTTGAATACTTCAGGGATGGAGTATCCACAGCTTCTCTGGGCAACATTCAAAATATATAGCTAGAGAAATTCTCCTGAAGAACTCCCTATCATTGGAGTGACTATCATAAGAGTCAAACATGAGATTTATAATGTAAGACAGACACAAAGGAAATGGGAGTATCACAGAAGAGTAAAAAAACATTTTGTTTTTTTCTCCTTAACTTCTAAATGTTGAAAGATGGAAATAGTGACTCCACGGCAGAAATGCCAAAGAAATCTTGGGATTTTTCTGTGTGGTAGCAATGATATTTGTACTAACATCTTTCTTCTACTGAATTTGTATTTCCTTCAGAAATCCATGTTTACTGATCCAAACCCCTGGAATTTGCAGGGGTGAGCAAATCCTTAGCCTTGTGCCATGAGAGCATAACAGGCATCAGTCAGGGGAGACTGGGAGCCACCATTTCATATTGTTCAGTGCTATTTTGGGCATTTGCATGAGAGCAGAAGCATTTGGCAGAGATGAGGGCAGGAAAACGGTGCACTGCAGCTGAGGGCAGGGCTCCCAGTGTAAACAACACACAGGGGACAGATGACTTTGGGAGCATGGGAATATATTGCCATTTATATTGCACGGGGGAGATCCCATGATCAGATGGGTCTTTATACATATTGGAGTGCCTGCCATCCAAAATATCCTTTTCTAAAGGACATCCTGCCCTTCTCCTGCATCTGCACATAGCCATGAGCAGCTGAGTGAGAGACTCATGTCAACAGCCAAAACAACAATCTCCAGAGGCTCTTGACTCTGCAACTCTGTATAAACTTTTCCAAAGCTCTCTCCTTCCGTGCCAGGACATCCAGACTGTGGGGTTGAAATAAAAATCCTCCCAGTTGGCTGCTGTTGCTCTTACTCTACAGATTGACACAAATGCTTATTTTTCTGATCCAGGTATAAAGGAGGGTGGTAACTAGAGAGAAAACTATTAGCTTTGGTAGGCTGGTGACTACTACCTTTTACAATTATTTGGCCAAACATGTATTTTTGAGGCACTTGGATCCCTTCTATTGCATCCTACAGCAAGAAAACATAGTTTTCTGCGCCTGTAATACTGAGCTATTTTGTGGTTATTGTGCCAGGGTGCACATGGAAACTGTTTTTGGAGACGTTGCCCAGTGCTGGGATGAACAGGTGTTTTGCCTGATTGATAAAATCAACCTTATTTTTTCCTCTGTACTGTTAATTTCTTCCCATCAAGTTGTTCAGGAATGTTGTTTTCCATCCTTCCATGTTATTTATATGCAAATAAGAGAGCAGAAATATCAGTAGCAAAAGGCCTTTGGGGCTCCCTTGACTTTCGGAGGAATGCCTCTTGCTGCTGCCAGAAAGAATGGTGGGATAGTAAAAATGAGTGAAAACAAAGACATGAAATTACCTGAAATGCCCAGATCACACACTGCTAAATTAACAGTCATTATCTCAGCAGGTCTCAACTTCTTTTTTCGCTTTGAGGACATAAAAATAACATACCCATTTCCCAAGGTTGAAAGGATCCCTGTAATAATGAAAAACAGAATAACAATCAGATTAGAAGCCTCCTCAAAAACAGCAATACCCCATCTTCCCTGTGAAATTCCTTGATATTTTCAGCCTAAATCTGTGGTCCTAAGGCTGGACATTTTACTCTGAAACATGGTCATCTCATTGTCATTATGCAGCTCATAGAGGCATCAGCTACAGACACCTCCCTCCCTCAGCAAATACTATTTTCCCCTCTGCAGCAGAGCATTGCCTTCACCACCTGAGTCTGCACAACTGTGACTGAATGCTCTCAATAGAAATCCCATAATTCCTCTGTTATTGTCAATCCCATTTTTTCTCACAAACATTTATACGGTCAAAAGAATGAAATTCAGCTCTCTGCAACCATAAGGACTCCTGTGTGACCAATCTTAAATTTATTATATATTGTAAGCAGAGGCAGAGGGATGTAAATTAAGATATTAATACAAAATCTTAAATTTTACAATAAAATAATTTCTATAATCAGAAAGAAAAATAATAAAATTAATCTGATTAATCTGATTTTCACTTCCAGGTGGAATTCAGTGCATGAGCAGGGACCCATTTCTTGTTGGCTGACATCTTTTTTTCCATATCACCACCTAAGCAACCACAGAGAACCACACTGCAAGTGGTTGATCACCCATGGAAGTAATCACACCGGTACCAAAAACTGTAGGGTTTCCATTTCCCATAAAGAAAAATGTTTCTTCACTAACTCAGGTTTGAGTTTAAGCTCAGCATGAGGGTTTTGCTGAGGAAACACAGGACAGCACACACAACATCCCTTTCATGAAGCAAGAATCACACCCAAAGGTGGAAAACCCAAAGGGACCTTTGCCCATAGAGCCTCACACCAGAGCAGAGGAGACAAGTAAGAAGGAGGGAAACACAGAAGAAAAGACTGAAGAGCAAAGAATGACAGAAACCCCAACCTGCTGCGCTGACATTGTCTCACCAAAGGGACCTACAATGGCAACGAGGAAGATTTTGGACAGTTCAGCTCAGAGAAGCGCGAGAAAAGGTGTTCTCCTTAAGTACTTTATGTTTGTCATCTTTGTTTCTCCCTACGTAAACAATAATTAAATGTTAAGTTTTGGGGGTTGGAAGTTTGGGGATTGGAATTGGATGATCATTAAAGTCCCTTCCAACACAAACCATTCTTTAATTCTATGATTCTAAATTAAATTCCCCTCAATGAGTCTGTTTGCCACTTCAGTAACTGGGGATGGATCTCCCTGTCTTTACCTCCACCCTGGCTTCATCTCCACTGTTTTTTCTCTGCCTGTTTCCTCCCTGTCCCACTGTGAGGGTCATTCTGGGTGCTTGGCTACCAGCTGAGGCCCACTCACCACACTACTTCAAAGAAGTCATAAATACGCCAACTTTCCTCTGTTGATGAGGCAGCAAAGTCACTTTTTGTGATGTCTTCGTACACATGGCTCTGCTGGGGCAAACTCATCTGTATTCTATGTTTCTAAAAGACCCCAGCAGCCCTCCAAGCCTCCCAGCAACTCTGACCTCTCCAAATACTGCACCTTTGAATACCACATAATTTTCATCAGAATCTTCTGTCAGGCCAGACCTCAGGAATTGAAGCTCAGTAATTTAATTATTTAGTAATTAATTGGGTAATTCAGTAATTAATAGGCCAGTATTTAAATGGGTATTTAATTATTTACCGTGGCCCATCAATGGAACAATCCCCTTGCAAGGGTGCCATGTCCTCAAAAAATTGAGAAGCCCAACCTGGGAACATCCATGAGGCAGAGAGAAAAATGGTTCTCAGAGGCTAAAATCAGGTTGCTTACCAAGACATATAACCAAGACATGTAACCATAAAGCCAAGAGTTTACCAAACTCAGGACAAAAATACATTGATTTTTAATATTTTGGTATTAAATGCAACACTAATTGGACCCTCTTCTTATTTTTATATTGACAGTATTGTTTTCTAGATTATTTTAAAAAAAACAGACAGGACAGAACCTGGCTTACTATTGATCTTAACTTTTTGCAGTAAATTTGATTTAGCCTTGGTGAATTAAATTTAAAGAACAGTCTACTCTTGTGGCTCTACAAATTTAATCTGAATTATAAGCAGAAAGAAGTATTCATATGAATTATTTTCTTCCTTGCAGCTAAGTCAATGAATCTCAATGTCGTGAGAATTTTTTTATGTATTTTAATCCTTTTCTCTCTTAGTGCCATTTTTCTCTCTGGTGATATTTTAGATAACTAGAGTGTCAGCATCCAATTTGAAATACTTTTTGAAAGCACTTGACATTTTCCTGAATCTTTTTCAACTGACTGGCAGTCTAGAGAGACATCTCCATCAGGCAAGCCTCTAAAGCAACTGCTAATTATTAATACCAATGTTCCAGAGAGTCCCAGCCCACTGACCTCCTAATCCTGCGTCTGGAAAGGGTCCAGTGATTAATTTATGTCTATACTTTCATTGACAATTGCTTATCTGAGTTCTTTTTTAACTCCTCAGTGATCAAAACTTTATAATCTCCTAGAGGAGCATCTAATGCTCCATTTCCCCTTCTATTAAATGATTTTCCTAGCAGTTAGCTGGAGACCTTGCTGGTGCAATCTCCAGGTCTGGTAGTTTGGAAACAGGGGGAAAAGGCTCTTCAGTTATAAAATAAAGGCTCTTTTCCAGGAGTGAACAGTTCAGGGCAAACAGTCCATGGCACTGCAGCACTATTACATATATACAAAGAGCCAACTAAAAAAGTGACACCTGCAGAGAAAGAGCCAGGCTGAGATACACAACCTGCAGCAAGAGGGGAAAGTGTTTAAAAGTAGTAAACTAAAGAAATAAGCTTCCGTTCCTCCAACTGACAGCAGTACTAAACCACCACAGAAAATGAAAAAAAAAAAAAAGCAAAAATGATAGTTCAGGATTTTGTTTTCAATTAAGCTGTTTCATAACATGCTGAGGAAGCATGCAGCAACAGTTTGCAAATCAATAGTTAGTTGCCACAGGGTTTCAGAGGAGCTGGCAGCCAGCAGGCCTCCACTCAGTAGTTTGTCACCCTGCCTGGCCATACAGAGAATCAATCAAGCCAGTGATGAAAAAGCTGGCGGGGGAAGTGACGAAGTAAAAAGAGTTGGATTCTCAAAACCACATGCATAGTTTGATTTATTTTTTTTTCTAGACAATTAAAAAAACTACACATGGAAATGAATTAATCAGGAAAAAGGATCATGTGCTCACAAAGAATTTAGCACAGATTGGTCAAGACCCCTGATTTTCTTCAAAGACAAAAAAATAGTTCTTATTCTATTTCAAATTGCAATACTTCAGCTGTAGAGCCAGTCTGACCTTAAAGCTCTGCCAAGTTGCCTGATAGCATCGCAGCCTTGTTCAGCCACAGTGCAGCTTCTTTCCCTTTTTGAAAGAAATTTTAAACTCATTTGCACCTTACACACCTCAAGGGCAAAAAGATGTGCAATAGCAGTCCTGGCTTCCCACCTCCTGGCTTGCCTCTCACTGCTATCAGGATGTCCACACAGGCCATCCTCAAGAGGGGCCACAATTTTCTTGGAAGGGATCTGCAAAGGAGTCGGGAACACAGTTCAGTGCTGCCACTGAACTGAACTGAAGGTGACAAGTTCAGTCTGAACCACAAGTTATAACAAAAAACACAGACACATAATTGTAGGATCATTCAGATTGGAAAAGACCTCCAAGATCATCACGTCCAATGTCTACTTGTTTTCTAAACACTTCCAGGGTTGATGATTCCACCATTTCGCTGGGCAGCCTATTCCATCTGCTGAACCACTTTTTCAGTGAAGATATTTTTCCTAATATCTAATCCAAACCTCCCCTGGTGCAATTTGAATCCATTTCCTCTTATCCTATCACTTGTTGGGGAAAGAGACCAACCCCTACCTGACTACAACATCCTTTCATCGTGGAGAGTGATAAGGTCTCTCCTGAGCCTCCTTTTCTCCATACCCTCATTGGTTACAGGAACTGAATGCTCCAGCTTGGTATTCTATCTTCTTTAGATTACACACACAATTTATAAAGTAAAATCTGCAACACTGCAAAGTTACCCCAAGGCACAGCTATGCACAAGAGCTATTAGAGCACAGAGATTTTGCTTACTGTTTTGGACACTTGGGAGCTGTGATTAACTGTAAAGCTGCCAATTAAAGCAAATTTGCAGCCTTAGCAATCTTGCAGTGTGCAATTTGATGTCAGTGAATAGCTTCATAGAGGTAAGCTTCCTTCTCCACTATCTACCACCCAAAAACTTTACAGAGCAGTGCTTTATGTCCCAACATAGATGTGGATGCTTTGAATTGCCAGAAATCAGCTTAATGGAAAAGGAAATCTGAGTTGTTTGTTGTTTTGGTTTTTTTGCAGTAAGTAAAAAAAGCTACTCAGAGATGTATCTGGGAACAATGATGATGAATTTCCTTCTAAGTTCTCAAGCCCAAGATATTACTAAGATGTTGCTATCCACCTAAACATGAGTGGGTACTGAAATCTGGATCTGCACAGCAGGAGGTGCTAATGGTGGCATCCCCAAGGCACTACACTAAATCAGCCTTGTGAGCTACAGCTCACATGAGAAGAATCAATCCAAGCCAAGCTTTATTTTTTTTTTTTAAGAAAAATGTGCTTAAAGGCTACTTTGCCCCATCTATTCACAAACACAGAAGACCTGGCATTGGTCCTTCCACCGGTTTTGTTTAATTTCCTCTCTTAGTGGCTGAGCCATAAGGTGAAATTGTGCTTTACTGGTAAAAACTATCACACTCTCCTTCACACAAATCCCTACGAAAGGGTGGAAAGGGAGGAGGGGGAGTGGAGGGTTCTGCACTTCTCTTGGCCTTTGGCCACTTCATGTGCATTAACTGTATGATATACAATGTCTAAAACATTGCTGTGCTGGTCTAGAAATGGTCTAGTTGCTGAAATGGCTGAGGTCACAACTGAGCAGCAGCTTGGTGCTTAAAAATAGTGCAATGATTGCTAAAAGGAATTAAAAATATCTGTGCCAGGTACCGATGGTGTCTTATTCTACAGATCCAAGTCCAAGGAAGATGCAAATGCAGCATTTACATGCATATGTGAAGACCATAATTCCCTCTAATGAAAGCTGCTACTGGACTGTGTAATGGCCATAAGGGTAAAGTAACTAACCAAGTAAAATGCAATGCAGAACAAGCACATGAAAAATAAGTTAAATTTGGATCTAAGTGTGGGATATGGTGTGTAGAGCCACACACACAGCAGAACTGTGTCTTTAACTTCCCTGACTTGGGCCACTGGATGCAATGAGTCCACCACAGGCTGTCTGATGTCCAGTCCACAACATCAGGAAGGTGGGAATCTTATTGATAAATCCAATATCAAAATGATTATCAGACCTTTTTGAATTATAATTGCAGACTCCTCACACTGCTCATGGAAGGCTTTGCCTTTATGACTGGCTTTTGGCTTTTCACTGGAAACTTTTATTTCCTGTTCCTTGCGTTAATTTGATTACACCCGAGTTTTTCAATATGTTTCATACCTGATGGGGTTTTTTTTTTTTTTTGAACAGGATAAATCTACCCTAAATACAGCAAACATAACAAGGTAACACAGTGTATATTAGAAAGATTCATTGCAGCTACTCAAATACATTTCCTGGGATTAAAGCTAAATTTCCTTAACAGAGTGAATAAAGACCCAAAGTGGGGGTTGTTTTGGACAGTTCAGTGAAGACATCTCTCTGCAGAGCAGCAGGAAAAAACATCTATGTGAAAAGTGAGGATACATAGAAAACAGCGCATGAATACCAAAACCAGCACTGAGAGACAGCTTCACTTGCCACCTCTGCTGCTCTGAATTCTTTTTTCAATAAAGACACAAGCAGGAAAAAAATGATAAATTAGCAGAAGGCATAAGTAGAAGAGAAATGATAAAAATAACTGATACCTTTATTACAGAAAAGATATTAGATTACTTAGATCAGTGGGAGGAAAGGCAATACATGAGAGTAGGAGGGAAGGATGTAAAGTAGTGAATGAGAAACAAATGTAGGAATGACAGATCAATCCTTGTATTTTGTGCAGAACTGGTTGAACAAGTTCTGGTTGAATCAATACTGAAATAAATGTCAAGGAATACGGTACACCCTGTATTCAGACTGGTGTTCAGCTGTTTGAACTGATCTCAGTTTGGTGTAGTTATTTACGTGTCCTTAGCTCAGCTTTAGGAGAAAATCGCTGTGAGAAACTGCATGAACCAAAGCCATAAAACATAACAAAACCTAAATATATAAAGAAGACTAGACTAGACTAGACTAGACTAGACTGGACTAGACTAGACTAGACTAGAATATCCTGAGCTGGAAGGACACACATGGGTCAACGAACTCTGACTCCTGGCCCTGCACAGGACACCCCAACAATCCCATGTGCCTGAGAGCATTGTCCAAACACTTCTTGAATTCTGTCAGGCTTGGTGCTGTGACCACTTCCCTGGGGAGCCTGCTTCAGTACCCAATCACCCTCTGGGTGAAAAACCTTTTCCTAATATCCAACCGAAACCTTCCCTGACACAGCCTCATGCCATTCCCTTGGGAGTTGAGACAAGTACTGACACAAAAAGATGTAACTCCAGCCTTCTCCATAAAGCAAAGAAGGTAAATTATCAATAAGAACGAGCAGTTTATCCTTAGAAGTAATGGAGACCAGAATTTTTCCTGCTGAATGATGACTCCTTGGCATACGAATACTTAAAGCAGAAATCAGTCCCAGCTATCACCTGTGTGCACTAACCAGTACGTAATTGTATTTATTATGCTTGCAAAGTCACTTTGAACATGGTGAAGGACTGCAACACAGAAGGACGGGGAGGGTGCTAGGCAGAAAATATTGTTCAGTATAACGTGTAAAAGAGGACAGATGATGCCAGGAGCTGAGCAAGGTTCAAACAAGCACATCTCAGAATGTTCTCTGCTGCACAGGCATGTGAGAGAGGCTTTGAAAACAGACCACATGGTATAGTGGAAAAAATTCATTTCTGCTCAGAGACAATTAAACCATAAGGTAGTAACTTATCAGTAGAAAAAAAAATACCATTTATTCACTTTTTGCTGGAAGGTTCACTGCCAGTCACTTGTGGCTATCTGGAGCAGCATTGTCTGTTGACACTAACTGTTGACACCATATTTCTAATGCATTTTCTCCTCTACCCCCTAGATTTTTCTTTCTAGTATGAAGAAATATGTAATTACACATCAATGCACAGCAGCTTCTGCTTCCTTTGTGAGAGCTACAAGCAGGCAGTCATATCTCAAAGACCAGTTATAAAATCATTACCAATTACTGTCAAATAAAAGCCAGCTATGATGTCAGCTTCTCTAGAAAGCTTTGATGCAAAAGGGTCTCCCTTCTGGAGATAATGTGGGACATATTCTTCCTGGGAGGAAGTGTTGTGATCTGATGCCATCCCACTCACGTCCAGTTGAGTGTCTGAAAAAAAAAAGAACAGAGTTTGCAATAGATCACATCTGCTGCTGGAAAACACAAAGATATTTTTGTTCATACACAAGATGCATCTTCCCATCCTCATTTCTGCTCTGCCACTTGCCAGGGCATGGCAGGATCCAATTCAAAATTGTGTAAAGCATCCTGCCATGATCTATTTCATGACTTTATCCAAGAACATCGTTATTCACATGGCACCACAGTATAAAAAGGACATTAAGGTATTAAAGAATGTCCAAAGGAGGGCCACAAGGATGGTGAAGGGTCTGGAGGGTAAGCCATATGAGCAGCAGCTGAGGTCACTTGGTCTGTTCAGCCTGGAGAAGAGAAGACTGAGGGGAAACCTCATTGCAGTTACAAATTCCTTGTGAGGGGAGGAGGAGGGGCAGGCACTGATCTCTGCTCTGTGAGGACTACTGACAGGACCCAAGGAAATGGCCCAAAGTTGTGTCAGGGGAGGGTTAGGTTGGATAGTAGGAAAAAGTTCATCACCCAGGGGAAGTTTGGGCACTGGAAAAGGTTCCCTAGGGAAGTCGTCACAGCACCAAGCCTGATGGAGTTCAAGTAGTGTTTGGACAACACTCCCAGGCACATGATGTGACTCTGGGTCCTGTGCAGGGCCAGGCATTGGACTCAATAATCCTGATGGGTCCCCTCCAACTCAGTGTATTCTGTGATCCTGTGGGTCTGTGGCAGTCCCCACAGTAACCCATCTGAGCAGGTACCATTGTATCATGGCTTTCAAGCCAGGTCTTTAGAAGTGCCTTCCCTGAATATCTTAAGGATCTCCCTGTTTCCAGCTTGGTCTAAGAGTGCTCCAAGACTGAGAATCCAGAAAAAATAAGCAAGGCAATCTTTTGTGTCTGATTATCTTCATTGCTCAATGTGTTTAATGTATACTGTACTACTTGTCTTTATCTATACACACAGTTCTCTTAATGCCAAGAGACTGGTAATTACCAGCAAGACAGTCCCAGCAATTTCTTCATATCCTGAGGGACACTATGTCTACAGATGGCAACTCTAAAAATTTTAAAGATAAGTGAAAACTCATATCTATAAATTCTCCTTAGAGTTATTTAGGTGTTGGGTTCCAATGCAAATAGCTTTTCCTGGTTATGGTTATAAACAGCAATTGGCTGCTACAGTCATGAAGAAGCAGCAGAATTATTAAATAATGGACTCATGTAGGAAGGCTTGTTGAGTTTTCTTTCCATTTCCTTTCATGTGGAAATTGGCCACTGAGGTCAAATATACTGATGGAAATAAAGTGAACCCAGACATGGGAGAACTAGAATGTGGCAGACACCTCTGAGGAATATCCCTCCAGGACAACTGAAAAAGTAAAGTGAGGAACCCTTGCATAAGGCAAAAACCTTTCTACCATGCTTGAAACCACACAGTCAGGAGCTTTTTAGGGCATTCAGACCCCTCAGTTCTTCTTGCCAGCACCTGGTGAGAAGGAAAAAAGTATTGCCTTATTTTACCCATTTGCTATCTCTCCTGCATTTTGAAGGCACAGTCTTCTCAATAACAGACCTATGTGGCCTGGTACACCTAAAGCACTCACAACCCTGTTGTCCCTCCAGCTCTGAAAAAAAGATGGTCTAAGGACACCATCTAGTACAAAAGGATGGACTAAATCATGAATCTGGGAAACAAAATAGTCAGAACGATCATCCTCTCCATCCTATCATAGCCACAGGTCTTGATCCAGATTCCACCCGGTCTTTAAAAGAATCCTGATGCTTTCCTATCCCCCAGCTTGCATGATGCCACAACTCTTCTGTGGCTGCAGCATTTGGGTGTCTGAAGTGATGCAAATGGAAAAGCACATCTGGGACCTGTCAGGACAATTTGGGTTTGATACAAATACCAAAGTGTTTAAGGGCATTTTCTTCTTTTGAGCCACACTAGAATCTCCCACTCCAGTCAATATCAGGTGGCTGACAAGGACAGTCGTGTCCAGCTTACAAGAACACAAAAAAGTAGCTTTAAAAAGGAAATTTCAACTCCTGTATATGTTAAGCTTAACCAGAAGTCCTGCCATTATGATTTTAAATTGCCATTAAAGAAAAGGTGCAGGTTTCCCAAACAAATCACGGCCCTGGGACAGGAGGGAGCCCTCTCTGATCCAACTACTCGTGGAAGATTTTGCTGCTCTGGTCAATCTAAGTTTTTTACCTACTTGTAAATGTTAATGTTGTAACAGAGTACTCCTACCTGGTTGCTGAAAAAGAAGTACCTTATTGTAGCTTTAAGCAGAGAGAGCACATTATTTCTTGAAAATTTTCAACAAAAGTAAAGGGAAATTAATGTCAAATTTCCAAAGATACAAAACCTCTCCTCATTATTGTAATAATGACTGATTCTTAATAATAAATTTCAGATATAAGGAGATAAAACCCAACTCTACTTGATTTACACAAAAAATTAACAATGACATGTAATGCAGGGGATTAATACTAGATTATGGCTTTAAAAAATGTTCATCATCCTGATTAGGCAGGAATTGACTGTGTCCCCCAAAATAAAGCTCTATGCAAGAATCAGATCTCACTTTTAGAGCACATAAAACAGAAAAAGATGTAATTAACAAGGTAGAATAATTAATTCTCTCATAATTCCAAGAAAAGCTGTAATCCTAATCAGCATCTAGTGTCTAAATGTTGGGCAAAAACCTATGGAGAGAGATAACTTTTATAATAATAGGCAAACCCTAGCAAATGTAGGGGATGTCCATTTTCCCAGACAAATTATTTCAGGAACCAACATCGGAACTGCTAACTCTGTTGGTTTTATTAATACATGTGCTTTTTAAGGTACCACAGTATTAAATGCCTGGTAAAAGTCATAAATGTTCTGATCCACAGCTCCTGAAAGTTAATTGTCAGTGACAGGTACTATAAAATGTTATTTTAATAGGAATGCCAGTGATCCCTGCTTGTACCAACCCTCATTGCTTGCAAGCTCCTGTGAACTCCTAAAACATATTGGGAAGCTACAAATAGGAAGTGGACTAACCCAGGTTCAAATTACGCCTTCTTCCAGGGGGCTTAGCTAAACATGGGCACATACCGGCAAAATCTGAAGTCCTTCAACTAAATTAGTAAGAAAACAATCACTATGCTTATGTTAGGCAGCTAAAAATAGGTATATTTAGTTTATGTAGCACAGCCAAAGTGGTACGAAGTCGGGAAAGCGTTTTCGTAACTAATGAAGGAAATATTAATACCAACCATTAAAAAAAAATTTAAAAAAAATCTGAAAAACCTAAAGGTATTTAGTATTAGAAAAAGCCTTCTATGTTTCGTAGGAATCACAGAAACTGAACTATTATCAGATGCTGCAGAAATCTTTTGTGAAAGTTACAGTGGCAGCAATGCTTTCATGTGTTTGAAAAGAGAGCACAAGAAATCGTGGACCGCGTACAAGTGTTGTAATTATTTGTAGAAGCACACTAATTTACCGAGTGATAAATGGCAGAATGGAACAAAAGATATCCATGAACCCAGCATCACCTCACAGAAAGTTAGTAGAGCTCATTTTGAAGGACTTAATACAGCTGAAGTGATAACATTATCAACTGTGTTAATTAAGAAAATAATTTTCTGCTCTCTCATGATACGTTAAAAACAATAAGGTTATGAATAATTTTATCTGAGTCAGTAAAAGACAAGAGCTAAAAGGATAAATTAGTACCAACAAGTATTGTTATCTTTTTAAGAGGAAAAAGGGTAATTATCTCTTCCTTCAATTTGTCCAATGACATCTATTTCTCAGAGTCCCCACAGCAAAGTTAGTCATCTGTCAGTGTCTGCTGGATCCCAACTCCTGCTGTCAAGCATCATTTTTATCCTAAACTTCCCCTGTGTATTTTGAGGAGCTCATTTCATAGACACAGGCTATGGAAACAGGGAAAGGTCCCAGTGGGCAGTGAGAGGTAAAAGATATTTTTAATTAAAGCCCTAGTTAGGTGCTTCTATTTCCTTTCAGTTTTAAAGCTATGCAGGAAGACTTACTATGGAACTTTGAAAAACATGCAATAATTTTTAAAAATGTGATGATAAATTCACAGGTAGTTATGTGAGTTTTAGGTGCTCCCTTCCCCTTAAGGGTGGGTTGTCACAGTGCCTGCAGCTACTTTTACGTTAGCAAGCATTGCAGACCCCCAGCAGTGGATCTGCAAAGCAAAACAGGTACTGTTGAGGACTTTTATCTTTCCAAGGCTGTGCACTTTTCAAACACCAGTGCCTGATAAAAAAAAAAAAAAGGGAAAAGAAAAAAAAAAGGAAAAAAAAAGGTAAAAAAGTGAATGAAAAAACAAAACTGTTTTTAATTGAGTCCTTGATTCTGATTAATAAGCATAGATTAAAACCCAAGCTCTCAAAAGATATTTTGGAATATAAGTGCTTCATCTGCTGTGGCAGGCACACTTGGACAAGCTCTGGGAAATGATCCAGTTATCAGGGACTGGTTTGTTCTTGCTGCCTCACAAGACCAAGTGATTCCACATAGCAGTAGGTTTCCAATGTCCAAAGTGTGGGAGCAGAGAGCACTGCACCACAGCCTACCATCTAGCTCATCTACAGACCATCCTTCCAGCACATTCCATGATAAAAGGCCCCCTGTGCCAGTGAAAACAGATTTAAAACCACAACAAAAGAAACCAACCTTCTGCTTCTTAGAAATGGACTCGTGCTTCTATCTGTGCTGCAGACACTCATCTTTAATTAATACGAACAATTCTGCTTTTAAATAATATATTCTTTAAAATGGAACTGTTCAACTCTAGCCAACCTCAGGACATCAAAAATCATCACCCAGACACTATAAAATGTCAATATCAAGCCTCAGAACCCCTGAAATTAAAGGAAAAAATTATTTGAGGATTTTTGTTGGGCCTCATGAATGCGGCTCTGCCCACCCTACATCAGTTTTGCTCTCTGCTCTCTCCTCATTTCTCATTGAGGTGTTTCAACATGTCCTTTG